GGGCAGCAGAGTGGGGGAGGGACCATGAGGTAGAGGGGCTCTCCAGGCACCTGCTCTCTGGGGCCACGTTCCACGGAGCTTTGGTCACAGCTAATATGCCCCATTAGCCACGTCCCCTCTGGGTGCTTTCTTCTCAGGCAACATCTCATGACTACAGATTGTGTTTTAACAAACTTGGAAGCAATTGAGCTGGAAATGTCTTGGGAATAATTCAATATCTTACTTTCACTTTCCAGGAAACTTGAACTGGAGGTGTAAGGAATTCTCCAAGCTGACACAGCCACTTTGTATATACCTTAGTAGCAATAGCTGGGATGTGTGGATACTTACTTGTTTACCAAGAACTTTTACTTTAATTAAATATTGATACTCTTTATCAATTCCTTGAGCTGGAATAATCATTTTAGTACACCTGTGCAATATCTGAGTAATCCGGAAAGGGGTTTTCCTTTCTTTTCTCTGCCTAGTTATTACAGAGATTGACTAGTCATTTATATATTATTATCCTATATTCCATATTGAAGTCCAAAATTTATTGTGGCTGACTTAACTGTGTTATCCATTTATCAGCTTTTTGAGATCCCTTTATTATCTTGGTTTGATTATAGAAAATAAGGTTTAGCGTGGGAATAACAACATAGATCATGGACAGGAACTTGTTTTATGGGGAGTGGCGGGAACTAAGAGCATGTGCACAGAAAGGAACCAAAGCATGGGGATGGCAATAAAGACCCAACTTCAACAAACACAAGTGAAAGAGTCATCACTAGGCATTGAGAGAATGAAGGAAGACAAGGGTAGAATCTAGTGTATGTCACAGATGAAATGATGAGTGACATTTTGCCCACCATGGTAGACCATTTAAATACCAGTAAACCAATGAGGACTTCACATAAATCCAAATCTTGAGACAATGTTCGTTTATTTGTTTATTGGTTAGTTGTTTTTTTTTTTCTTTTGTCCTAGTGACTTTTGGCACAGGTAAACATAGCATTTTCTGCCAAATTAAATTGAAAACAGGAGCTGTAGGGAACTGGAGGCCAATAGAGAAAGGTGAAGGAAAATTTGGCAAATTGAAAAGTCAAAGTTTCATATAAGTAAGAGGTTATGATCATGGTAACAGCCACACATGTTCAGGTCTATGAGCTTGAGTTCCTTCCACTTCTCTAAGGATTTCTCCTCATGCAATGAAGGTGCAGAGGTGGGAGTGTGGGAGTGTAGCCATTAAACTCACTAGTATGTCCTAGTTGGAGTAGAAAAACCCAACCTTCTTAATTTGTCCCTTTTTGAAATGTTACCAGGATTTCTCTTGACATGTATTTGAAATTGAGTAAAACACAAAAATTGACTAACCACCAATTGTATAAGTTAACATTCATTAGCTATCACCATGTGCCAGATTCGGTATTTTCATGGCTAGTCTCACATAATCGCTTTGTCATTCCTTGAGGAAGATGCAATTATTCTTCTCAATGGAGATGTGAGGAAAACATGTGTGAGTAGTTGCAAAAGGGCAACTATCTAGAAAATGTGTTAGCCAGGAATTTACAAACGCAGGTCTGTCGAGAACAGATTCATTTAACCACATTTTGCTTTATTTAGTCTCACAGTCCCACAACCTAATGCTTCAAAGTCACCAGTTATGAAGATTCTGATGGATTGTTGCTGCCTGGGAAGTCTCTTGCTTGGAAACTACATTCTGTGCACCCCCAAGTCTGCTGAATCTCCTGTTGCTTGGTGGGTCTAAAGACCCTGGAATATTGGAAGGCTCAGATTCTGGGGGCTTGGGTCCTTCCTCTGTAGATGCAACATGGCACTAGCCTTTCTGAGTCTCAGAGACTCTAGACCGACCTGAAGTATGTGCCAGGTACATCTGGGCCAGGAAATGATGGCATTGGCTTCCTTCTAGGCTGTGAGTATGTCCCCAAGATTTACTTTTAATCATTTCATTCCTTTCCCCCCATCTCATTTTCACAGTTCATTTCACAAGCTGACTCAAGAATAACTCAGAGGAAACAAGTTTGGGGGAATAAAACCAGACCAAGTTCACGCTCATACCTCTCATACATACTCCTCTGTCTCTGTCTCTTTCTCTGTCTCTGTCTCTATCTCTGTCTCTATTTCTCTCTCTCTCTCTTTCTCTTGCTCGCTCACTCACTCTCTCTCTCTCCCTTTTACTCTGGCTCCATATCTTCTTTCAAAGTTTAAGTTTATAATGAGCCAATTTTCTCTATTTTTAATTTTCACTAATTAATGAAAACATTTTTTACTTCATAATTGAAATGTAAATAAATGAAAACTGAGTAAAAGAAGTTCAGGGGAGAAAAAACTGTTTGTGTAACTTCCTAGGTTTCATACAACAATATTTTTCAAAATATCTATTCTGAAACACAAGGTTTATCTACTGGGTCTAATCATGAAAACGGGCTTTCAGCTGCCTACCATGTTGCAGCTGCTGCTCAGACAGATCCCTGAATGTAGAGCACTTATTAAGCATAAGAACCAGGAATCATGAGGACACTTACCTATTCTGACCACCATCTTCCATTAGGACTAGAAATATATGGTAATAAAGTGGGTTTATTTGTTCTACTGTATTTTGCATTCTTTTTTCAGATATTATTCTTATTGAGACAAATGTGCTGTCTTCTTCATCACTCTCCTGAGGGCATCTTTGATCTCCTTGTTCCTCAGACTATAAATAAGAGGGTTTAACATGGGAATAGCAATAACATAGAACACAGTCAGAAACTTGTTCTGTTCTGTGGAGTGACCAGAACTAGGATGCATGTACACAGAGAGGGCTGTGCCGTACAAGAGAGTCACAACTGCCAGGTGGGAGGCACAAGTGTTGAAGGCCTTGGCGCTACCTTTGACAGAGGATATTTTCAGGATGGAAGCTGCAATGAAACCATAGGATAACAGAATAAGAAGTAAAGACCCAAACCCAACAAAAATAGCTACTAGAAAAAGAATCGTTTCACTAATGAAGGGATTAGAACAAGATAGGTTCATAATCTCAGTTATGTTACACAAGAAATGTTGGATGATATTTGGCCCACAGTAGTACAACTCAAAGCAAGTCACTGTCTCTACTAATGCACAAATGAAACCGCACCCAATGGCTCCAGCAACCATCTTCCAGCAAAGCCCAGGCGCCATGATGGTCAAGTACTGAAGAGGGTGGCCAATGGCCACATATCTGTCATAGGCCATAACAGCCAAGAGGCAGCACTCAGCCTGACCCATCCAGGAAGCCACAAAATACTGGGTGGCACAGGCAATGAAGGAAATGACTTTTTTATCTTTGAAGAGGTCTGAAAGCATCCTGGGGCTGATGGAAGTAGTATAGCAGATGTCTATCAATGACAGGACACTGAGGAAAAAGTACATTGGTGTGTGCAGGTGGGAGTCCATCCTGATTAGGGTGATGAGACCCATGTTCCAGAATAATGTCACAAGGTAGATCACCAGGAAGACTGGGAAGAGACTAAGCTGCAGCTCCTTTTCATCTGAGATTCCCAGGAGAACAAACATTGTCACACGGGTGACATTTCTGTCCTCTCCCATGGACCTGCTTGGCACCATCTTCTGAGAATAGATAAAGATGAAATGTTTTTATTCTCAAAAATCAAGAAAAATTACTTTGGTTTTTTTTTCTTAATGTAACTGACTAAGTATATTAACATGGATGAATATTGCCTCTTTGTCTCATCACCTGGGGACAAGACACAGTAGTTAAAGATCATGTCTGCTTTATCCACTAAAATATATTGATTTGTTTGCCTCCTACACATGCACAACCACATACCAATTAGAATTATACAAATTAGGGGGACGTTGTCCTATCTGCCCAGGGTGAGGCGTGTCACTGTAAATGGGCAGCCCCATGAGAGCCCAGAGCATGGCATCATGCAAAGCTTCAATGTAAAATGAGGATACGACTTAGTGCTCTTTAAAACCACCTTGATAATTACTGTTTTATTAATCTGTTATAGTGGCATGCAGAAAAATTTGTAAGTGCCTCCCAGTGTCAACAAATCCATAGATAGAGGAATAATATAATGGGATCATGGAAGGAAGCGAGTGCCCATTTGTGGCTTAGAAGTTATATGACTTTTACCCAACTTCCAAACCCTAGGAAGACTCCTGAGATGTTAGATAATACAGATTTGAAAGTGATTCATGCTCCCTTCAATGAACCTACAGTTTCTCTTCCTCAGTTCAGAGATTCTTATATGTTAAATTGCCTGGCTCCTTATTGAGTCAATGGTACTTTTGAAAATCTTTTAGAAAATCTGACCCTCCCATCAGTCCCTGTGCATGGGTTTATGGATTCTCTGTCACTACAGAGTCCACAGTCATGTCCAGGGGTAAGACTCAAACTACAAATGACAGTAACTTGAGCTCAGTCTGTGTAGACAATGGACATGGGAGCTAGAAAGCTGAGGCAGGTTCTAAAATTCTTTCTCCATCTTCACTGGAGTTAGTAAAGAAAAATGAAGACCTGCATCTCTGAGGCAAACTCATGGCTCTGCCCCAGCAGTGAGTGTCTGCCCAAGGGGCAGCAGCTGTCCTGTCTCCAGAGGTCATAAGGACAACTCCCCACCCCACACTGCACATCTTCATCTTGGAACTCAAACCAGAAAGTAAATCCAGGAGCAAAGCTTTCACTTTAAGATGGTTTTGTTGGCATTAAAACTCACAAAACACTTGTGCTAAAATACAGTGTTTAAAAGCACAGTTAATCAAAAGTATGAATTGGGCTCCAGGTTGGGTTTTATCACTTTATTTATACAAACATGTACAAAGATTGTTTATCCCTGCATATCTCCTTCCTCATATAAAATTAATAAGTACCTCAAAAGTAACCATTGTGTCAGGAGTGCATTAGGAATTTTGAAGTAAAAAGGGTCTTAGAACACTTCCTGTGGAACACAAATTCCTCAGTAAATGTTAAGGTAACATTTATCATTGTCTATTTAGTTAGCTTGAGTTTGGTTCTCCATCTCCATTTATTGGGGCTGCTTCTCACATAGGCCAGGGACAAACAAGAATGATGATAAGGCTCCCTCAGCAGGCTGCCTTAAGACAAGAGAGGTCTTCTTGGCCATGTGGATTACCTCCCAGGCTGGGATCAAACTCGAGCTGACACGGTTGTGGCTAGCTTCCTAGAGCTGTGCTCTAACCCTTTGCACCACCAGGTAGGGCCCTGTACTACTCATTCTTAAGAGACATACACAACACTTAGTATAATGCCAAGTTCTGATCAATCAATGGCACTACAATTAATTTTATTTACTACCTCCTAGTAACAGAGGAAACCTAACTAAATGCATATGTGTGATCAATCACTATAAAATAAGAATGTAGGTTGTGCTTTGCTTCAAATAATCATAAGAAATTAGGCACTCTTAACATCTGACAGCTAGATAAAGAAAAATATGAATGTATTCACTTTCTTTGACAAATTTATTAAATGTGTGGAACTTTTCCCAGGAAATTGTGAGGAAGGCACATTGACTGATATCAATAACATGGAATTTTCACTGTATGGATCTAGCTTTAAAAATATATCTTACTTAATTCTTAGGATCATGAGCCAATGCTAGCGTGACATTGGCATTTTAGTCGCAACATATGTTGAAAAAAGTCAGGATGTCGTGCAATGAAAAATAACGATGCAGTGTAAGAAAGGTGGGAAGTCTAGTAAGATCGTTACTACCCGGTCTTTCAACAGACCAAAGATACTGCACATGAGCTTTGGCTATCTTTTATGTAGGGACCAGTTTGCTTCTTGCTACTCAGAAAGGAAGCCGTGGATTTAAATGTAAATCGAGTTATTATTATTGTTACTTTAAAGCAGATTCATTAAGGAGATAACAAATGAGAGAGATGGGGTCCTTAGGGTGGTTAAATCTACAAAGCATAGATAGATAAACCTGCTTTGAGATAGGAAATTCTCCCCGAATTCACTACATCATACTACATCATTGTTCAGCACACAATTATTAATGCTTCTATTGTTTCCATCTTTACTGAAGCCATCTCATTTGATTCTACATGACATAATGTTTCCAGTTCACATATGGAAAACCAGAAGGTGACAAAGTTCTGTATCAAGTCCTAGAGAATTACAGAACTAGGTCACATCAGCCCTCACCCCAGAGTAAAACCTGACACTAACCTGGTCTCTGAGGTCAGAGATTTTGGATAAGGGGGGACATTCCACAGGAAGACATCACCTGGAGGGCAGGGAAGGGAGGTAGAGGGAAGAACTGAAGCTGGAAGTGACCAAGTGTCAAGCACCTGCCCCCACAGCGCCTACTAGGGCTCACACCGCTGTGGAGACAGCACAGAATCCTCTTATTTCTAAATCTCGCTTCTCACCTTGACCAAGATCCCTCAGGAATACACACTTCTGCCAAAGATGGAAAGAGTAATTCTTCCCTGGAAAATGTTCCAGGATGGACCCGGTTGACTCCAGGACAGCAGCTGTGAGCCATGAAACAGGTTGTTCACTGACAGCAAGTGACATACCCACAAGTGGGAAGTCCTCTAGTATTTGTTTTTGAGGGCAGCAGAGTCGGGGGAGGAACTATGAAATGGAAAGGCTCTCCAGGTACCTGCTCTCTGGGGTCATGTTGCCATAGAGCTTCGGTCACAGCTAATCACCCCATTTTCCACATCCCCTCTGGGTCCTTTCTTCCCCAGGTCCTGGCAAAGTCTCATGGTTATAGGTTTTGTTTTAACAAACTTGGAGGCAATTGAGCTGCAAATGTCCTAGGAATAGTTCAAAATCATACTTGGACTTTCCAGGTAACTTGAGCCAAAATTTTCCCAAGCTGACATACTTAAGCAATAAATTAGATGTATGGGCTCTTTCTTGTTTACCAAGAACTTTCATTTTAAATACATTAATGTATACATTTTATTAGTTCCATGAACCTGAATTAATCATCAAAAGAGCACTGTGAAATATACAAGGAATCCAGGAAGGGGTTCTCATTTCTTCTCTCTACCTAATTATTATTTAGATTTTAAAAAGTCACTTATATACTCTTATCCTATGTTCCATATTGAAGTTCAAAAATCATCATGGCTGACTTAAATGCATTACCTATTTGTCAGCTTCTTGAGCTCCCCTTCATCATCTTCGTTCCTCATTATAGAAAATAAGGTTCAGCATGGGAATAACAACATAGATTATGGACAGGAACTTGTGTTTCATCGAGCACGTGCTCAGAGAGAGCTGGGCACAGACGAGAGTCACAGCACCAGGTGGGATGCACAGGTGTTGCTGGTCTTGGCACTACCCCTGGTGCAGGACACTCGCACTAATGAGTTTCAGTAGAACCAAAGCATGAGGGATGGCAATAAAGACCCAACTTCAGCAAACACAAGTGAAAGTAAGTAGTCATTAGGCATTGAGAGAAGGAAGATGAGGGTATGTCACAGATGAAATGAGTGGTATTTTCCCACAGTGGTAGAGAGAAAAACAATTGACTGTTAAATACTAATAAGTCATGAAGCCGCCACATAAATCCAAACCTTGAGACATTGCTCTTTTATTTATTTGTTTATTTGCTCATTGTTTTGTTCCAGTGACTTTTGGCAATAGGGTAACTTAACATTCTCTACCAAATTAAATTGAAAGGTAGGAGCTTTAAGGAGCTGAAGACAACATAAAAAAGGTGAGATGAAAAATTGACAAATTGAAACATCAAGGTTTATTGTAAGTAAGGGATTTACGACCACAGTAACATCTTCCCACGTGGTCATGTATATGAGCTTGAGCTCCTTCCACTTCCCTAAGGATTCCTCTTTGTGCAATGAAGTGCAGGGGTGGGAATCTGGGCATTTTACGCACTATTATGTCCTAATTGGAGTCGACATTCCAGAACTGCTTAATTAGTCCCTTTTTAAAGTGTTACCAGAATTTTCTTGACATACATGAAATTGAGTAAAAAAAAATTGACTAACCACCAATTGTATAAGTTAACATTCATTAGGTATCACCACGTGCCAGATTCGGTATTTTCATGGCTAGTCTCACATAATCGCTTTGTCATTCCTTGAGGAAGATGCAATTATTCTTCTCAATGGAGACGTGAGGAAAACATGTGTGAGTAGTTGCAAAAGGGCAACTATCTAGAAAATGTGTTAGCCAGGAATTTACAAACGCAGGTCTGTCAAGAACAGATTCATTTAACCACATTTTGCTTTATTTAGTCTCACAGTCCCACAACCTAAAGCTTCAAAGTCACCAGTTATGAAGATTCTGATGGATTGTTACTGCCTGGGAAGAGCATGGAGAACTCAAAATGCCCAGATACCCGAGACAGGGAAATTATTTCTCTCTTCATTAATAACCAAAAAAGTTGCATTCAGACCTGGAGAAACATGAGTATAAATGTTGTGCACATACTACTGTGATGTGTAGCACACTTAGTCCATGAATGCTTGTCTGGGGAATTATTCTCTTTGTCAATTTTCTTAAAGTCTCTTGCTTGGAAACTACATTCTGTGGCACCCCCAAGTCTGCTGAATCTCCAGTTGCTTGGTGGGTCTAAAGACCCCGGAATATT